AATGACCAGCATTATAAACTTGTGAGTTCTATATTAGCATAGATACATACTGAAAATATTTAGTGCAATTCTCTATAACTAAGTAGGTGATCCCCATTAACATATTTATCTCAACATGCAACTATGTCACCTCACCATGCAATCATGCATGGGAAAGACTGATCTCATGATGAAATCATACTTGAAAACTTTCATTTTAAAGTAATTCTAATATGCTACTTATATTTAATAAATATCTATGATCATAAATAATTCTAGTTTTAGATCTTATATGGTAATTCAAAAACTTATCTTTTTTGAACACACTACAATCACAGATGTCCACATGCATGCACATACACTCACCCCTATAAATACTCGCACACACACCCTATATATCTCTATAAGCACTACCGAGATATTTAGCCAGCATCACATCTTGAGATTAACAAAGTCACCACATACGTCTTGTAGTCGACGGAAACGTCTCCTCGCATTGAACGAACATCGCCGAAAAGTTTGAAATAAGTCCAGATAAAGGCAAGCACTATCTAGGACTTTAACCCTGGTGGGTTGGTTCCACCACGAGGAACCTAATCATCTGAACTACACTTAGTTCGCTTAATCTAGATACTTATTTTATACTCCCTTCGTTGCTAAATATTTGTCTTTTTAGAGATTTCAAATGGACTGTCACATATGGATGTATATAGACATATTTTAGAGTGTAGATTCACTCATTTTGCTCCGTATGTAGTCACTTGTTGAAATCTCTAGAAAGACAAATATTTAGAAACGGAGGGAGTATAACTAAATCTCGTTTAAATACATTACAAGTAATTTCTGCAGCAACGGATGGGATACTATCTAGTCTAGTCTAGTTAATGAAATGCTGCATACTAAGAGCATCTCCAGCCGTTCGCCCCCCAGGGTGCTAAAAAAAGGGCGGTCTGGGGGCGAACCGGCGCTAGTTCGGTCCCTGGGGGCGACCTAGCTCCCAGTCACGCCCCCAGGACGCGAAAAATTCGAACTTGGTCGTTCCCGCTCACAAAAGACGCCACAAGTCGGGCGATCGCAAGCCACAATTCGGCGTACAAAAAATAGAGCGGCAGAAGTTTGCGTGCGCATCACTCGGCGGGCTCTGCCCCAGGCGACGGCGGAGTTGGCGTGCGCGGGCTTGGCGGTGTCGGAGCAGCCTCTGCGCTGGGCGATGTCGGCGCGGCTTCGGTGGTGCTGGGCGTCGTCACGCGGGCTTGGCGTCGGCGTGTGCGTCGGCGTCGGCGGCCTTGTCGAGGGAAGCTGGTTCAGGATGAGGCCGCGCTCCGTCAAGTACCACGCCTTGACCGCCTCGTCGGTGCTCTGGAGCATGTCCGCCCCGCCCAGCAGGAAAGCCAGGTCGGTGTTTCTCTTCTTCGCGGCGACGTTCGTCCGGAGCAGGTCGAGCTTGACGGCGCTACTCGACATCAACGCCGACCACCGCGCCTTGGTCTTCTCTTCACGAAGGACGGCACGGGCCTGCGCGTCGGTGAGGCAGTGCTCGATGGACTCCTGCACTCGAGCGGTGGCCGTGTCGGCGTATTTCCCCTTCTTGGCAACTTTGTTGCCGTCCGGCCGCCCTTCCGATGCGGCAGGAGTCGGCGCGTCCGGCTTGTAGGTCTCCTTGGCCTTGTCGAGGGTGCGTCGGACTTCCGCCCACTTCTCGCACTTGTCAATGCGCTTGTAGACATGGAGGTACTTGAATTCGGCGTCGCTGTTGCTCTGTCGGTACAGGGTGAACATGCGCAGCAACTGCGCGGAGGGACAAACAGTTGGCGCGCGTACACGGCGAAGAGAGGCGGGAGGCTGGCATTGCATACCTGATCCTCGACGCCGGCGCCGCTCTCCGGGCGAGCCGCGACCTCCTCGACGACCCCATGCCATTTGTTGCACGCCCCCTCGGCTTCCTCTGCTTCGGCTGGGCGACGGAGGCAGTCGCGGTTGCCGCTGCGCGGGGGGCGACGTACTTCTTCGGTGGCATGGCGGCCGGCTGGGAGGGAGGCGAGCGGGAGGAAGATTGGCGGGAGGAAGGAAGAGTATGGGAGGGAAGTGGGGAAAACGCGGGAAGAAACAGCGGGAAGAGGCGCTCGCCTCGCCAACAGGGCGGACCCACGCGCCCTTTTCGCTTGTGCCGGCGCCCCAGGCGCCCCCCCCAGGAAGCCGGGTTCGGCCTGGATCCGCCGGCCCCAGCTTCGCCCCGAGCCGGCGAAACACGGGCTTCTAGGGGCGCGACTGGGCCGTTTTTTCGACGCCAGCGCGGCAAAATCACCTAGGAATGGCCTGTTGGGGACGCGGCTGGAGATACTTTAAAAATACTTGGGCGTGTATCTATGCAAGGGAGGGAGGGAGGGAGGGAGGGAGGCAAGGTGGCATCATTGCATATATGCATGGGTATCCTTGAGCTTTTGGACGGTCAACATGCATGCGAAGACCATGCATCTATGGAGGTGCAAGATGGCCGAAGTGAGTACTAGTAATCCTAGCTAGGTGATATATGCGTGCCTGCCTGATGCGTTGCCACCCCCATGCATCCCCGGTGATCCTGGGAATGAGCCTTGCACTTGCACAAGGAAAAGGGTGTGGTATGGTCGTCTCTACTGACTTTCAACTGCGGGCAGCCGGCCTCTCTCTATCCGAGGGAAAGAAAACAAAAAATATTTGTTAAAGTGGCCCGGACGGAATATAATCTGCTATTGAATTCGGCGAATGTGCGGCGCGGACGACAGAATGGTCGGTTGAGGTGTTCATTCATGCATATATAAACTGCTTGCGAGCTGCTTTTATGTATGGAGCGGAGCATATATAAAAAGTGTAGGTTGCATGCCAAGCTAGATCAGATGCTGTTTTAGTTGCTTAGTAAACAAAGGCTACTCTTTAGGTAGTGATGGATATATTAAGAAATTGACCAACTGCTATTACTAGTAGAAAGCTGATTGCATGCATGGGGCCAACGAAATTTAGATGTCACCGATTGATCAACGGAAGAGGATGGCGTTGACGAGGTCGCCGGCAGCACGCACTAATTGCATGCCTTGGAGAGGTGGAGTTGTGTCAGTTGGATCGAGCTAATCGACCGATTCATTCAATTCAAGGCACTAATGTCAGTCGCCAAGTCAAACCATAACTGCCTACTAGTACTAGTCCTAGTACTCCCTCCGTAAACTAATATAAAAGCATTTAGATCATTATTTTAGTTATCTAAACGCTCTTATATTAGTTTACAGAGGGCTAGTCAGCGCATGCAATGCATGGATGCAACCTCACTCACCTCATCACCCGGTCCGCAGGTAAGGTACGATACGATACGATAGAGGTTCATGCGTTCATGGCATCACCTCCCACCTCACTGTCTACTGTCTACTGTCTACTGTCTCCATTCTCATCCTCTCCTCCCCTCTGCATTACTATGCACATCACTTACCTGATTTTGTCCCCTTCCTTCCCCGCCAACATATATATGTCGTGTATACAAGCAAAAATAAATAGATGAAAAGGGCCGAGTAATATTTAAAACTAATGCACACACAAATAACCCTTTTTGGAATACCTTGTAACGGAAAAGCACAACGCAGAGAATAAATCGGTGGTTGCATGGTTAGGAGGATGCTAGGATGGTGGTACCCTTGGCCCAACAAGGAACAAACCCTAGGTTCCATACTTAATTTGATGTCTCATTATTAATGTGGATTAATCTTTCAATGGGATACGACTGTCAATACCGAGGCATCTATGGTGACTTCGGCAACCTTCATGCTCCACAACTTTGACCTGATCTTCAGTACGCGTTGAACCGTCTAGAAATCCATTCAGCCAGAAACACAAGTACAAGCAAAGGAAATAAGAGGTCTGGTGGGGCAACAACACAAGATATGCCAAAAACCGGGAAACAAATCAATACAAGACACCTCCGAGAAGAGGAATTAACTGTTGGGAGACGCGTCGATCTTTCGGCCGACCAACTGAAGACCTACCAGCATGCCACCTAGAAGGTTCCACTATAGCAAAAATGTGAAGAATTTAGACACAAAGTTAGAAGAAGCATGCCGTAAGAAAAGAATACACGCTGGATAATAATCATCTTATTACGTAAAGTCCATAGGGTCCAAGCCATTGCCGCAAACACCAACCAGAAGAGATGTGTCTATTCTATTGATTATATTATATGTGGGGAATAATTTGTTAAACAACGATGCGGCTTTATTGATTAAGTAAAAAACAATACAGCATATCAGAGCGGGAAAAAACAAAACAAAAACAACCAACGCATAACAAAGAAAAAAACTAGAAAATCACACCAAGCAATGCCGTTGTCACAATGCTTTACAATACCTTGTATAATAATTTACAATCCAACATTTACGGCAGCCCACATCAATTTAGAATCCACCACGTTTTCCAGAAAACTGGAGGGGGATTATATGTACATGAGTTTTACAGGCATGTACTAAGTACGTATGTGTCCTTTGAGGTGCATGCATGCATGTAACTGAATAAGTGTTGTGTCTACATACTAGTGCCAAATACTTATATGTAGCACATACATCTGGAGATTATAATTAATTATAGAAAGAAACTTTGGTTGTATGCATACATGCATGTAAGCATATACTATATTATGATATGAAGTGCAATGCATAATGCATAGGAGGAAGAGTAGAGTAGGCACTCGAGACGTAGAGTGGACGTATGCCTTTACGCTACCCGGGAAGGAATGGTCGGATTCGTTGGGAATGGTTTGGATCCGCACGTGCCGGTCCCGCCTCCAAATATTGACATATCCCTTTCCCACCCTCTGCTTTTTAAACCCTCCGACTCCCCCCGCCTTCTCCTCCAACCCTTCATCACCAACATCGATCGATCAGCACTTCATTCTCCCTCGTTCCATCCAAGCTCCACCATCCATCACTGATTTGCACTTACCTAGCTACTCCGCAACCCCCACTTCCGGCTTCTTCATTTCTCACTACTAGTACGTAGTTGAGATTATGGAGGGCGGAGAAGGATCCGGTGGCGGCGGCGAGCCGACCAAGTACCGCGGGGTGCGCCGCAGGCCGTGGGGCAAGTTCGCCGCGGAGATCCGGGACTCGAGCCGGCACGGCGTGCGCATGTGGCTCGGCACCTTCGACACCGCCGAGGAGGCCGCGGCCGCCTACGACCGCTCCGCCTACTCCATGCGCGGCCGCAACGCCGTGCTCAACTTCCCCGACCGGGCGCACGTCTACGAGGCCGAGGCCAGGCGCCAGGGCCAGGGCTCTTCGTCGTCGGCGAGGCAGCAGAATCAGCAGCAGCAGCAGGGGCAGAGCGGGGTGATCGAGTTCGAGTACCTGGACGACGACGTGCTGCAGTCCATGCTCCACGACCACGACAAATCCAACAAGTAGATCGATGGATCATCCATCCATCCATCCATGGATCGATCCATAATACCTACTGTATCATCCCGGCCCGGCCGGCAACATCGACCTGCGTGCATGCGCGGGCGCGGATGCAATCTACACTACCTACCTATGCATTCCGGCCATATATTAGGTACGTAGATTATATGTGTACGAGAGCCTACGAGCTCGATGAAGATCGTACGTGGTGCATTCTGATGCATGAGGATTCCATCGACACGACCCTCTACCATATATTTGATGGGTCGATCGAGTAATTTGCAGCCAGTAATCCAATCGATGATATGGGGTTTTCAGTCTCAAATGACACAATCGCAATGCCTACATTTTCAGTTACAGTATGCTTAATTAACCGACTTGTATCATCAACATATATATGCATCGATCATCTCAACATCAACATATATACATACTGTAAACCATCCTCGTACTTCCTGGCGAGATTTATTCAATGTTGGGGCATTAAATCAAATGGCCTGCTAGCTTGTTAGTCACACATGCACATGTAGGTACTCGATTACCGGCCCGGTCGGAGAGGTATGGAACCTACCTGGAAGCTTCTTTCTTTCATTCATATGCATTGCATAAGGGAAGTAGGGCTGGCTGCTAACAGCAGCTGAAAGATGGATGGAAGGAATCAAATATGCATGTCATCCATCGCCGCCGGTCCCGGTCCCGGTCCCGGCCCCCGCCCCGGCCGAGAGAAAGTAGGACGTACGGCTGGCTGGAGCCACAGTCTCAACAGTCGACCATGCACCCAGAATGCACTCCGTCCATGAGAATTCAGGGGCTGCGATGGAGCAACCGTACGTGCATGAAGCTTCTCGGAAGTCGGAACCTGCCCGCTTTCATTCCGGCCGTCACCACCAGTAGGTACGTTCACCAACACACCTCTGCTATTCTGCTGCTGGTAGATCATCGATTAATTACCTGCGCGCTGAAACCAACATGGAGAAACATGTCATGTGTAACTGCACTAACTCTCAATCTCCTACTCCTTAGGGCATCTCCAGCCGTTCGGCCCCCCAGGGCGCCTAAATAGAGCGGCCTGGGGGCGTGCCGGCGCTAGTTCGGCCCCTGGGGGCGACCTACCTCCCAGTCACGCCCCCACACGCCGGCCTCAGGATGCGGGAAATTTAAACTTGGTCGTTCCCGCTCTCAAAAGACGCCGCAAATCCGGCGATCGGACGTAGTCTGGCGTTACAAAAAACAGAGCGCCGCCGCCGCAAGTTCGCGTGCGCAATGATTCACTCGGCGGGGTCGGCTCCAGGCGTTGGCGGAGTCGGCGTGCGCGGGCTCGGCGGTGTCGGAGCTGCTTCGGTGCTGGGCTGTGTCGGCGCGGCTTCGGCACTGCTGGACGGCGATGTAGAGGCATCGCTCGGGCTTGGCGTCCGTGTGTTCGTGGGTGTCGTCGGCGTCGTCGGCGTTGCCGTCGGCAGCTCGCTCAGGATGAGGCCGCGCTGCACCAGGTACCACGCCTTGAGCTTCTCATTGTTGCTCGGAGCATGTCCGCCCCGCCCATCAGAAAAGCCATGTCGGTGTTCCTCTTCTTCACGGCGACGTTCGTCCGGAGCAGGTCGAGCTTGATGGCGTTGTTCCTCATCAGCGACGACCACCGCGCCTCGGTCTTCTCTTCACGTAGGACGGCCCGGGCCTGGGCGTCGGCGAGGCAATGCTCGATGGACTCCTGCACTCGCGCGGTTGCCGCGTCGGCGTTTTTCCCCTTCTTTGCCAATTTGTGGCCGTCCGTCCGCCCCTCTGACGCGCCCGGAGTCGTCGCGTCCGGCTTGTATGTCTCCTTGGCCTTGTCGAGGGCACGTCGAACTTCCGCCCACTTCTCGCACTTGTCAATGCGTTTGTAGACGTGGAGGTGCTTGAAGTCGGCGTCTTGGTTGTAGCCCCGATACATGGCGAACATACGCAGCAGCTGCGTGAAGGGACGAACAGTTGGCGGGCGGCGGGTGTAGACGACGAAGATATGCGGGCGAACGGCGTGCGTACCTGATCCTCAACGCTGGCGCCGCTCTCCGGGCGAGCCGCGACCTCCTCGACGATTCCATGCCATTTGTTGCACGCCAACTGGATACGCCCCCAATGGTTCGCCATTGCCTTGGAGCCGCGCTGCATGTAGACGCTTTTGAAGTAGGGATCGACGAGCTTCCGCTTGTCGAACTCGGCCTTAATGCGGTCCCAGTACGTCTCCAAGCTCTGGTTCGCGCCGGTGGTCGGGTCGAGGCAGACGACTTTCCATGCTTCGGTGAGGAATTCCTCCTCCTTGGACGTCCACTTGATGCGCGGTTCGCTTGACCTGGCCGCCCGCTTCTTCTTCTTCTGGCGCCCCTTCGTTGGAACAGGAGCCGGCTCCTCCTCCTCCTCCTCCTCGTCCTCCTCCTCCTCCTCGGGTTCCTGCACGTCCTCGCCGTAGACGTAGCCGAGCTCGGCCTCCATGTCGCCGCTAAGATCCACTACCGCGTCCTGGGTGGCGAACCCGAGAGACGCGGCGGCCGTAGTCGATCCTGTCGCGATGATGTCGTCCATGTCGGCTCCCGTGTCGTCGGCGTCGCCGAGGTGCGAGAAGGGCAGTGGTCCACGGTAGAGATGGGGCGTCGGTGTGGACGCGTAGGCGGAGGGCGGCGAGTAGTTGTATGGAGGGTACTGCACGCCGACGAAGGCGGGCGAGGGCGTGCGCGTAGCGGGGTGACCATGAGGGAAGGTCACGTTTGGGTTGAACCCACCGTGCGCGTCGCCGTCGGCGTAGCCGGGCAACGATGAACCCCATGGAGATCCGACGCCTTGTTGTCCCCAAGGCGCGTACTGGGCGTGGCTGACGACGGGTGGATTCATCCCCACCTGGTCGACCGATGAGGAAGACGTCGCCGCGCGCGCTGCGTTGTCGCGGGCCTTCTTGGCTATGGCCCTGTTCCGCCGGTCGGCGGTGACTGCTTCGCGCCGCTGAACTTCCACCCTCCACTCGGCGTTCGATAGGCCCGGTGGCTTCGATGGCGGCGCCCTCGGCTTCCTCTGCTTCGGCTGGGCCACGGTGCCAGTAGCGGCTGCCGCCGCGCGCGGCATGGCGTACTTCTTCGGCGACATGGCAGCGACTGGGAGGCGAGCGGGAGGGGGTTTGGCGGGAGAAAGGCAGAGAATGGCGGGAGGAAGGCGAGCGAGCGGGAGAGATGCGAGGGAAAAGCGTCAAGAAACGGCGGGAAAAGGCCCTCGGGTCGCCTCCAGGGCAGGCCCACGCGCCTTTTTCGCTTGTGCCGGCTCCCCAAGCGCCCCCCAGGGCGCCGGGTTCGGCCTGGGTCCGCCGGCACCAGTTTTGGCCCGAGCCGGCGAAAAACGGGCTTCTGGGGGCGCGACTGGGGCCTTTTTTTGGCGCCGGCGCGGCAAAATCGCCCGGGGAGGGCCTGTTGGGGGCGTGGCTGGAGGTGCCCTTATGGTAGGTGTGTACATCAGTAATTACTCAGTTAGTCCATCCTAGCTACAATTTAAATCAAGCACTACTAATTAACAAAATATATGCATCTGCTGATTGTCAAAATTTAAGGTGATGGTTTATGTTCTACTATATATGTGCCATCGTGCCAACATGTATGCACTTGTTGTTTATATATGTGGCAGGTATAGACCCCGGCCAGAAAATTATGAGAAAACCGTCACAAAATATATGGATTGTTTTATTTAACCTCCATTTTCAAACTTTGGTTTTCAGATTTCTTCTTTCAAATATAACATCAATATCCGCAATGATGGACTCATAATTAAATTTTGGTGTCGGGGGCCTAATACTTTAACGGGGACACTCCTTTTGCACTGGAGATGACAAAATGCGCATGGGCCTTGATTGCGGAGGATTCAACAAAGCATCTCATCGCCAATAACTTGTCAGATGCTAAGTAGTGGTGTTCTCTGCTAAAGGAAACATTATTGCATGTTTACTTCGTATCATAATGATGCAGAGTCCGGGGGTCAACCTCCTTTCCGAAGAAACTATTAGCTTTGTCAAAGTCTTGGTGACATTTTGGGGAGTGTCGGCAGAAAAATGACCCATGAGCATGTGTGCCAGCAAGAACCCACTCTCTACGATAGTCTTAATGCCAAAATTCCTCATAAACCACACCATGATTCGGGAGACTACAATGCCAAAGAAGAAGAGGAAGCTACCTGCGAGGTGAAGCTCGAAGGTGCTCCTAGGTGATGTTGAAGGAAGGCCTACTGCAAATCAACGTGGATGCACCTATTTCACGCTCGGCCTCAAAGGCGGCATGGGATTTAGCTATGGTCTGCAGTGAAGTGCTATATTTCGCGTTTGATTTTCACTTAAATCATGTGTATGTAACATCAAATTGTTTGGTAGTAGTGAGGGATATCAACTCGTGCTCCCTCTACCCATAAAGTGTAATTCACTTTCCTAGAGTAGAGTTCGGACATTAAGGAACTATTGGAAGCTTCTTATCTTTGGAAACCTTTTGTTGCCAATATAGCTTTTCCCAACCATGCTTGATTGTGATCATGTGAAGCCATGTGTTTGTGTTGAGCTCAGCCAGGAGTTGTGCGAGTCATCGTCATTTTCCAGGCTCAGTTGCACGGTTTAGAGGCAACATATGAAACAATTAATGAAAAACTCAATCCACAATATTCAATGATATACTACATCATGTTTTTAACTTTTCATGCATATTTGTTACAAGCAGTGCTAAATACAAAGAATATATGATGCAGTTTTGATATTACAAAGTCCGCATTCATTGTTTGTTGATTGTTTAACCCGCATGAAAATGAAATGCACATTTGACCATGGAAACCCTGATATATGAGTACCACAAAAGATTCGAGAAAAATCCTTATACGTACCTCCTAGACTCCAGGCCATTCTATTTAGTTAAATATAAGACAGGAAATATACACTCAAAAGTACCCTATTTCTTTAAACCTGCACCTAACATAGACAATCATACACTAGAAACACCCATCAACATATTTAT